GTACAAAAACTCACGGAAGCAGTGCTGCAGGTCTGATGTTCCATCTCAGTCTGTATGCGTCAGCTTCTTTTAACGTCACTTCTAGAAACACATTTCTCAGATTTTAATGTCTGATATCTTTCTTCCTATTTATGGCCTGAAATAGGAGAAAAGAGGCTTTAAAAGTCCATCTATTTATTTGCTTTTATTTTTTTTTTTTTATTCAGCTATCCTGAAATAAAATCTAGGCATAACCTAGTTAACTGCTTTATTTTTTCTCAGCACTTTATTTTTCTTCTTTCTTTTTCAATTTCTTTAATAAGTGTACTGTCAGGACTTGGCACAACAAAATTTTGAAGTATTTCTGTTGCACCCCCATAGGACACTTGTTGTGTCACTAGCAGTTGCCAGTTTGCATTATTTCTGTAGGATTGTTGGCTTGTTTTTATGTTGTGGCCAAACCATTCTTGACTGTAACTTCAGTAATATAGAAAAAAGTGTCTATTAAGGTGATTTTCATTTAAATGAAAATGCTTGTTGTAATTTTTCTTTGTTAAGCATGCAACTAGCATCTTAACTTTTAGAAATACAGTCATCAGTGTAAATACTCCTGCAGTATATTTAGGAGAGGTTAAAAATTGAAATCTCATGGCAAACAGTGCAAACAGTCTGTTTATAGTAATAATTACTATAATAATATTGTAATATTTTTATAAGAAATAATTATGGTCATAATATAATAATGTTTGAGCTTATAATAAGCTCAAAACGGTTCGTTTGAGCTTAGGTTTTTCCAAACTTTATGGAATTTTTATTTTTATACTTTGTTAGTATCTTATTTGCAATAATTAATATGTAACAATGACAAAGATATAGACAAAATATTGGGTATAACCTTACCCTTAGCACTGTTTGTGTATCTAAGGACTAGTAAGGTTACACACATTTGATGTTGAGTAAATTGCTGGGATCCATCTGCAGAGGAAAGTAGCAGGAGGCTTGGCATCTCTACCAGTCCAAGGGAGAGAGACTACAATGAGGAATGCAATGAGGAGTCAGAGATGCATGAAAAACAATGAGACTTGGAGAAAATGTCAACAGGACTTTTCTAAGGGATGATCTGCCTTAAAAACTTCAGGCAATAACTAGAAAGATGAAGCAGCATATGGATGACAGATGTATTTGATAAGATCTACTTGAAAAAAACATAGTCATAAGGTAGGAGGGAATTCTATAGATATAGATTCTATAGACATTCTATAGATGAGTATTTGGTGAAAAATTCACAAGGAATAAAGTATTTATGGACGGAAGCCATCTCTGGAGTTGCACAAAGCAGATAAATATTCATAAATCATGAAAAATGGGTCAAAAATGACTAAGATGTTAGTACTGAGTAATTATCTGAATATTAGGCCCAAATGAAGGATAATAGTGATGAACTACAGAAAAACCTTATGAAGTAATAACGACTGAGATTCAGCATTGATAAATGCAGATTAATGCACTTATGGAAAAGGTGTTAACTTTGCAAATAGTTGATGTCCTGAGCAAACTGGCTAAACTGTACTATTCAAAGCTGGACCCTAAACAGCATAGTTTTTCTTGCACTTTTACAAGGTAACAAAAAATAGTTTGCATTTGATTCAGTCAAATATGCTGCTGAGAGAAATTAGCTTTTCACAAGTGCAAACAAAACCACTGCATAGCAGATGGTTTTGTTTGTAGTCTTTTATTAAAACTTAATCTGGAATTTTTAAAGCTTCTTTATTATTTGCCAAAGATTTTGTGTTTTATATTTTCAATTATTTACATTTTGCCTAATAGAGCAAGATATGTGAATTACATCAAACCCTCTGAAGTTGTCAGGCTGCCATACCCACTCCAGATGAAATCTTCTGGACCACCTTCATACTTTATAAAGAGAGAATCTTGGGGATGGACAGATTTCCTCATGAACCCTATGGTATGTACAGGCAACACACAAATATGCTAAGGATCCAAATACAGCTACTTGTCAGAATAATAAGAATAAAAACAATTGAGGAAAAATGTGCATTTTTCTTTCACTGTTCTGAGAGGATTGTTTTCTTGTATTTTACTTGCTTACAAATGGGAAGTTATTCTCTGACATCCTTCCCCCATACACCACTGCTAATGTATGTCCTCTGAAAATAGCCCATAGTCTCTTCCTTTGACAATGTGATGCTGTTCTAGTAGTGCAGAGATCAACATGTTGCAAAATTGTAATTACAACAGGTGTAAAAGAGAACAACCATTTGCCTTATTGGTCCAACTTTGAAAATTGTTGTTTAAAGTACAATTCTCCCTTGTCAGGATTCATTCCTAGCAAGTGTTATGGGCTTACTAATTCAGAATGCAGTAGTTCTAGAGTTTGGCTGTTTAGTAGAGCTTCATTTTATTTTAATAGGTCCTAAAAGTGTTTAGAGCAACAGCTAAGCTGAAGAGGTATTTCCTGTTTTCTCTGTAGGTGATGATGATGGTTCTTCCGTTACTGATATTTGTGCTTTTGCCTAAAGTTGTCAACACCAGTGATCCTGATATGAGGCGGGTAAGTACATTCAGTTGATGCATGTGGGCAGACCAAAGATAATGAGATTTCAAGGCACAGAAAAGTAATAAAAACAGAACTGTACTTTAAAGGAAAGCTTAATGGGCATAATTTATTCAGCTAATAGAGTGTAGCTGTTCTAGCAATGAGTAATTTAATAAGTGTCAAGTGTGTTGAGAAGAGTGTGATGTGGGGTTCTCTTGTGCTTCAGCCTAAACCACAGTTGACTACGCTGTTAAATCCAGATGTCGCACTAGTGTATATGATATAGAGTCTTAATGTAGTCATTAAATTATCTGATTTATTGTCCTTTCATCATGCAAAATGCTGAATAACAGAAGGCTAGGACGAAATGGAGATTTAAGGTGTTTGCTAAATCTTTTATATTTACAAGTATTATTTGTCTGTCATGGGTGGCTGCTTTTGAAGGCTAACTAAAAACTCCTTTTTCTGTAAATGACCACTGTCTTCAGTAGTACTTTCTAGGTGTCTGAGTAATTTTTTAAATAAGTGATACCTTTAAAAAGCCTATCAAAGCTCTTTTGGCTATAATTTTGATTTAAAAATCAGGTACAAAGATATACTAAGTATTCATGGCATGTTCTTCAAACCAAGGTGAATTTCCAAGCTGAATTCTGGAAGTCAAATTTTTAAAAAAGAAAATCACATATTCCTTACTTTTTCCACTGATTTGACACTGCTTATAGACAGGCTGTTCTGGTGGTAAAACCATCAAATCTTCTGATGATTTAGTTCTTACCAGATAACTGATACGACTTCTTTAAGGAGAAATTTTTAAGTTGGAAGAATTTTGCTTATAATTTAACTTAATCTTTAAATAGTAGGAAAAAGTTGTTTTTAAGAGCTAGATTGTAATGGCATTGTCTAGATGACTGTGTATTAAATTATTAAGTGTTGACTTGTGGAGTAGATGGAGGTTGTATGACGTTTTTCACATTAACTTGTTTTTTCTTTCTGGAATCAGCACAGTACTGGTTAGTATACAAAGTTTAATGATTTAGTAACTGTGCTTGTTGTAGAGGTGTAGTGTAGATGCAGTAGTAACAAACGCTACTAAAATGCCTTGAAAGACTTAAAGATCTATCATTCTGAATGGGAGAAGAACAAGGTGGCAATCCCATATGAAACTCACAATTGCTATAAGCATTATCCCTTTGTGGATGTGCAGTTCAGCTGTTGTATGCATTAAAAGTATTTCAAGATTGATTTATTTTAAAATGTGCTAATTCATTTCATAGAACCACTGTGCTAAACCCTAAAGTTACATTAAGCTTATCTGGATATACAGTCTTGTATTAAAATCCTTATTTCCTGAAGGAATGAAAACTCAGCTGCAGTACTCTAGTAGTTTGGTGTCAGAAAGTAGGGCAATAAAAATATCTAATCCCTTCAGACAGCATCAAAAATTTATTAATTTGCTATAAATAATACTAATTTGAAAAACAAAAGTGTAACATCTGTGAGAACACAGATCTGAATATCTAAACAATAGCCTAAATTTTAATATGGGGAAAAGTAGTGCTGAAAAGAAATAATTTTTATTTTTTAGATTTTTTTTTTTAATCAGACCTGTAAGACTGCTTAAGACATGGTTACCATTTTCCATGCACTGTTGCTTTTAGTTTTGGGGTTTTATGTTTCTGTGTGTTGCTGGATGTTTTTGGCTGTGGTTGTGTAAAACTATGTAGCAATATGTATCCTGGAGGACTACAAAAAGTGAAACAATATTTGGAAAAATTTGGTATCTTTCTCACAAAGTCTTTCAACTGATGCCTTAGATACAGCCAGAATTGTTACACGCTATTAAGATTATCTAATCTTTCCATGCAGGAAATGGAGCAGTCAATGAACATGCTGAATTCCAACCATGAGCTGCCAGATGTGTCTGAATTCATGACAAGACTTTTCTCTTCAAAATCTTCCAGCAAGTCTGGTGGTAGCAGCAGTAAAGCAGGGAAAAGTAGTTCTGGGAAAAGGAGGTAGTTAATTCTTCCTCCTCTGAATTTGCACAGCTATTTGTTATCATGCGGTGTCATGTTTATTTGTCTTGAAAGATCAAAAAGCCACTGCTGTAAACTTTAACCAGGCGCAACGTATGTTATGCTACAAGAATGGTTTGTAGCTTTTTTTTAGATTGTATAAGCTGTTTTGTACTTGACAGTAAGCAAAAGATGACATGGCTTCAGTACTGTATCTGTATAAAGTTATTGATGATACTGAATTAACTACATTGTTCTGTAGAGAATTAAAATAAATTATACAATGTGCTTCACAGTAATAAATGTCTTAAGACAATGTATAAAAAAAATTCAAAGATAATATGGGTTCAGTTTTAAGATTTCTTCAATGTTTTACGCTTGTTGAGTTCTGAAATGAACAGATCATCCTTTCAAAATGAAGTTGTGAATTTACTGGGTAAGTAATTTGCTGTATCAGCTTGTCACATGTTACATATAAAATCATTTTATTTTATGCTGCATGCTGCCTGTACAATTTACAGAATCACAGAGTAGGTAAGGTTGGAAGGGACCACAGTGGGTCCTCTGGTCCGATCTCCCAGTCAGGGTCATCCTAGAGCACATGACACTGGATTGCATCCAGATGATTCTTGGATATCTTCAGGGAGGGAGACTCCACAACTTCTCTGGGCAATCTTTAGTTCAAAGATTTTCCACTATGTATTGCCCAGGTTTACTCTGATCTACTTTCTGCTAAAAACTCTTTGGGAGGAAAGAAAGCAAAGTATCTTGCATGAGGAAGTCATTTAAGCTCTCAAGATCTTGAATCTCTTTTCTAAATTACATGTATCACTTCTGCAACACTGAGGCTTCTTATGTTTCTATGCATGCTGTGCTTTCAACTTACCAGTGGAAGGATTTGAGGCCAATTACAGAGTTTTAAATGAAGTTCAAATTAACTAATTTTAAAATTAAAGAAAAGAACTTAAGGTGTAGTAGGAAGCTAAATTCTGCTCATCTTATAAAGTATATTCCAAAGTATGTGGCTCTCGAGGAATGCCATGAAAAAATGAAAGTCCTTATTAAGAGTTCAGAGTGAAAAAGTTCACAGGAATTGTAAAGATCGTAGTAAAACTTTGGAAGGAGCACATGGAATATGTAACACTTCTCTTAGGACTTTGTATATGAAGGTTGAGGCTGTTCCTTTGTGCATCAGGATCAGATGCAATATCCACTCTCGGACTCCTGTTACCAAAAAAATCTAAAATCTTGTACATTTTTCACCTCCTTTTAAGACACCTTTGTGATAAAGCAGTTTGTAGTGTTTGTAGTAGTCTGCTGCTGAACTACTGCAAGTTACAATTTTTTTTTTTTTTCATTTTAGAGCTGGAATCTGTGTGTCAAATGATCAGAGAGGTTCTAGCCAGACTACGTTGGTCACTGCAGTCAGTTGGTCGTCGTTGTAGTTTAACCTTATCCAATAGCCCAGCCCCATGCAGCTCACTCACTTCCCCCGATTGGATGCGGAGGAGAGTCAGAAGGGTAAAAGAGCACTTGTGGGTCGAGATAAAGGCCGTTTAATAGGGAAAGTAAAATCTGCACACACAGAGCAAAACGGAATTCAGAACTTCCTATGGGCAGGTGTTCAGTCCTCCTCAGGACAACAGGACATCCTCAGCACACCTAATGAGTACTTGTGAAGACAAAACCATCACTCCAAATACCCCATTCTTTATGCAGAGCATGGTGCCTTATGGTTTGGAATATCCCTTTGGTCATTTGGGGTCAGCTGTCCTGGCTGTGTCACCTTCCAACTCATTGTGCACCCCCAAGCCCCTTGCTCGTGGGGTGGGGTGAGGAGCAGAAAGGACCTTGGCTCTGTAGAGCACTGTATCAGTAATGAAAATGGGTTATCTCTGGGTTATCAGCACTGTTTCCAGCACAAGTCATAGGCATGGCCCCACACTAGCCACTGTGAAAGTTATAGCTCTACCACAGTCAATTAAAGTAGTAATGTGGCCTTGAGCTATCATAAATGCCACTAGGCAAAATTTACTTGATCCTGAAACAGTTAAAATGCAAGGGTGAATTTCTGCAGAAAATAAATGTTGGCTGTAGTTCGGTTTTGTTATTTACAGATTTTTAGGAGTCAGTCTTCTGTGTTAGGTCTGGCATCTCCATTTTCAAAAAATACCAATAGCTAGCTGCCTTTTAGTGAGACTTCTTGAGATAACGTAAAGTAGACTGTAAATTAAAGCAACTGATACCTCAGACCAGAAATTAAAGATTTACTTGGACTATAGACAACCTGATTTCCTTATTGCCAAAAGGAGAAAGACACACTTCTTAGCTTGACTGGATAATCCTGCTGCCTTGTGATTACAGGGTCTGGTATTTCTCAGGCTTTGTTGTGCATTGATTTAACAACCAAAATTGGTTCATCAGTCTGCTGGAATTCTGTTATGTTTTAGGAAGTTAAATCAGCTCACAGAAGGATCAAAGTCCTAGAACCTGCAGAAAGTAAGCACCAGAAACATTCAGTCAGAGGCAGGAATTCTCTGTTCCTGGCAGTGACTGTGAGTAATACAATGAGCTTACTGCATCTTGAGGATTTGTAGCTGAAGAGCTCATTTAGCCACGTTCTGAATGAGTGGGCAACTGAGTTTATGACAAGCCATGTAGAAGGGAGAGGAGACATTTTGCTGAAGTCTGTTTTAGCTATTAGTCACTTAGGATGGTCTGGAAGGTGTTTGGAACAGTTTCAAATAATTTTACCAGTTGTATCATCAAAGCTGCTCACATTCTGCACATAAAGGAAGAAATCAAATGTACAGCTATCTCCCCTTTGTTTTAAACAAAAAAACATTGTTGGTGCTTTTTATCTTTTTGATGCAGTGGGGATGATAATGGCTCCATAAATGGAGTGTGTATTGCCTCAGAGAGACAGGCTTACTTGTAATTAAAGCTTATATTTGTGAAGAGAGCTTTATATCAAGTGCCTTGAGTTTCTCAGACTGTACTAAACATCTATTATTTCTGTTTCAATTTTTTTGTGTATGACTTATGAGAAGCTCATCTCGAAAAAGTATTTGTGAAGATAAATTTAGTAATGAGTATTGCATACTCAGATAGTGTAGCAATGAGTTTACTGAAAGAAATCCAGTATGTAATCTTAAGACTACCTAAAGAGTGCCTTTGTTAAGCATTATTGTGTAGATCTTTATATTATCTGTTAAAACAACCCTTTTAAAGTAATGCATGTCAAGATTTCAACAAAAAAATCTAGGCAATTTAAGTATATACCATTTTCCAACTTAGTGAAAAGTGTAATAAATCACTGAGATCTATTTAAACATTTCCACTTGGGTGTTAATGTACCCTTAATTGCATAAAGGTCTTGTGTGATCGGTAGCTTAAAGAGGGCAAAGTTTATTTTACAGTTTGATAAAAGGACCCTAGGCTAACAGTGACAGCAGTACCTTAAAGTACTAAAAGTATTTAATTTTCATGTTTAAGACATCTCTGACCTTTATTTTGTTGCTACTGGTAGTTAGTAGATAGTGAAATTGTATTCCTAAAATTGTATGTTTCATTTGAGACTTATTTATTTTAGGAAAATAACCAATATAAAATAAATACTAATGAACCCTTAGTGGTTTTCATTCTGATCAGTCAGAATAAAATATGGGTATATATGGCTATATGTTGTGCTAAGTTAACAAACTGAAGGAAAATAAAAGTGTTTACATTACTGTTGATGGGCTAAGGAATACATGAAGAGTTTAAACTTTTCAACTCATCATTGGAAAAGCAGATTTACTGAACAATGTTAAAAAATTGAAAAGATTACATATGTGCATTTTGCACATTCTTAGGCAGGAGAAGCACAAGAGGCACCTGTGGTGCACAGGGCATTTGGAGATATAGAACATATTAATCATGGTCTATATCTCCAAAAGCTTGTTCCCAAGCAGGAACTGGCCCAGAGGCCAGCTTGGCAGGAGCAAGCCCTGTACATGCTGTGCTCTCCAAAACAGAGCTCGGAGACACTGTGGCTCAGAAATCATTTATTGCCCATGCTAACTTTGCTACCAAATCCAGGAATTAATGGGAGGGGAAGGATGGTGTTGTTATTAGGCACATTCCAAAAATGTATTGACAGCTATTGCACAAGCTTAATACTACAAATCAGCAGATTCCCATGTCCAGGGAAGTTCTCTGGCAGTGTTTCATTTAGTAAGATACATGAAGCTATAATTAATTGTAAGGAGAAAAATTTGGAGAAAGCCCCCAAAGGTAGAATAAAATTTAAGTATTGCTGTCATGACATATTTAATTCAAATATTAAGGTTTGAAAAATTTGTAGGTGGAAGATGTTTCCATGATGTTCTACAGACATTATTTTCTAGATGAATGTAGTGCTGGTAAGTGACAAATGAGCAAATGAACTGTAGCGACAGCCTTTAGGAGAGCAGACTTCTTTGCCTATTTAGTATTTGCCTATTACACATGTGAGTGAAGAAAAAGCAGTTATCCCACGTTTGTTTCCATCTGGGAAAGATTGCTGTACCATTCAAGTAGAAGTTCATGGGTCTTTCCCTCCATCACTACACAAAAACTGCTCTCCCTTTTAAGGCTCTTCCCCAAGCGGTACAATTTAGCCAGTTTTCCCCCACTCAGTGCAGGCTTCATTCTGTGTATTAGTCTTCTAATAAATACATTATTACACTTCGTGTTCCAAAAAGTAATCAGTATTGATAGTGAAATAAAAAATAGAATTTTAAAGTATCTTCTTTCATCATTTCAGTGGGTTTAAAAGCACTTAGGCCTTAGATCTTAATGACTGTTTTGAGCATTATACTGTGTATAATCTGGTGATTCAGGCTGTGTATTAGTACAGTATTTTAGTCAGAAAATTGTCTAAAGGAATAGTATTGAGTTTTAGTCTGTTTTCAGATTGTGCTAGTGAAAGCTTCTTGAGGTCATAAATAGGCTGAGGCATTTTAATTTATTTTGTTTCTGTGTTTCAAAAGCAGTAAAGGATTATTCATCCTCTTTCATAATAAATATTGATTTTGCAGGAAAACTGGTTCACTTTTGCAATTACAAGGTTATTCCTTCAAATATGCTGTCAGTAACCTTTATGTAATACCTTGTTTCTAATAAGGCTATAAAGATTTAATGACAATAATTTTCTGCAGAAAAACAAGCGGAACTTTAACTAGTTAGCTCATTTACTGATGATGCACAAAACATCACAGTTAGGATCACTTGTATTATGTGTTTGGTTCTGCATGGCTGGTAGGAATAGAAATTTATTAAAGACTTACTTAGTCAAGGGCAAAACGTAGTGAATATGCAACGGGAAAACCTTTTGTGGCATTTTACAAACAAAACTGAATTTTTGACTGATTCTTTTAATTTGAACACAAACACTTAAAAAGTAATATAGCAGGTGTTGAAACTCATTCACAAACACAGCAAGTAAAAAAGGAAACAGACTTTTTAAAGGAACGGTTTTTTATGTATGAAATATTAGATGTTCTCCTAAGTCCTCTGGATTCTTTAAGGGTCTATTTGTCTTGTTGTATGTGTGTCACATACAGGTGTGAGTTTTCCATTGTGTTTCAGAATGAAGAATAGAACACCCAAGCTCAAATTCTGGTGTGCAGGGCACAGGACTGCTATTTACCATGCAGATGCATGAATAATCCAGTTAAATACTTGGAGACTAATAATTTCCATTCCTGGGACCAGAACAGAATAAGACACGGAAAAAATTTCTGTCAGTAAGGAGGAGTGTTTCTTTTTCTACAAGTTTTTTTCTCAGTCATCCATGGATGTGGTTCAGATTGCTTCAGCTTGGCAGGTGAGAAATGCATAAACTGAATTAGTAAAGAGTGTCCAAAGAAATCTGAGGTCAAACCTCCTAATGAGCCTGTATTTTTCCCATGCTAAACATTCTCTCTTAGAAAGAAGGGGAGCTCAGATGAGAGGTGGAGCAGTTACTAAAAGTTATTGAAAGACAGGCTTGTAGTGGAGTAAGTACAGCATCCATCATCATATTTACCAAAAGTGATGAGAATTGAACTATGGTGTTATTACCAGGTTTGTGATTAAATGTTTACTTCATAAAAATAATACCCCTACCTGTAGCTTTGTAAGGGTCCCCACATTAGACATGAGCATCTATGGACAAGCAGTACAGACTCCTAGAGAAGCCTTTTTCTGAAATCCTCTCATTTTTGGTTTTGAATTGCAGTGTTAATACTCCCTCTTTTCTTTTGGTTTGTTTTTCTGCTAATTCTATTCATATGGTCTTTGCACAGAATTTTTTCGCTTCTTTTTCACCTTGGTTTTTACAAAGATTACAAGAGTCTTGTTGAAATTGCAGTGGCAAGCTCTACTGATCTGGTGCTGGCAGAAATAATTGTATACATCACTTGCCCTTTCAAGGGTTTCACTGGTAGCAACCAATTATTTCTATCACCAGGTAGCTGAGTAATGGTGGAGAGGTCATTTGTCCTGGAAAGATCTGATCAAACTGCTGTGCTTTCTTTGTAATATGTTTAAAACTTATTTTATTGTTAGAGTTGTTTTTTTGGGTTTTTTTGGTTTTTTCCACAAAAAAAGTATACACCAAGGAGAGTATTAGAAAGATTTTATAGAATCCGACACAGTTCACTGCAAATACAAGAGCTTAACATAACGCACTGTTTACAGCTATTTCATTGGGAAAAAAGATGATTGAATAAGGATCTAGATAGCTCTTAATGAAAAAGTAATTTTAAATCCCATTAACACCAAAAGTCACCTGCTGCTTTCAACCCACTTCATCAGTATCACATCAAAAAGAAACAAATTTGTAGAATTCTGCATCTCAGTCAAATCTGTTGATTACAAAAAATCTGCATGCTATTGTTCATATATTGTACTTCTTTCTGTGTCTTTTTCATATGACAGAATACAGTTGCCCTCTGAAGCTCCTTAAGTGCCTTTACAGCTTGGCAGTCCCTTGTTAGCCTTTGTAATCTTCCTGAACATTGTTCAAATTTGATAGCTTTTTTTTTTAACTAAATAAACTTCTACTTTCTAAATTTGTTTCTTTGCAAAACATGATTACATCTAGAAATATTTAAATTTCTAACTTGATTTAAGCACTGTTTATTTGTTGGGGGATTTTTTTAAATGGTGTTTTATTGTCCATTCTGTCCTTATGTATTTTTAATACTTGATACATATAGCTTATCTTTACATGCTTTTACATCCTAACAATTCCTTTACATTCCAAGTCAGGAATTTGAATAAGCAAATGTTTTGCAATAAAAATATGATGTGGTTTATCAACAGAAGCCTGAACCAGGAATTAGGCTCTACTGTTCTTACTATTTTTAGCAGTGCTTACTTGCTTCAGTTAGCTCCTTTATGAACAAAATATAGACTAAAGTTACCAGTGCAGCCAGGTTCCATTCACGGCTGTGGAAAAATACATGCACACTTCTGAAGATCTTGCTCTGTTATACCATGTTCCTTTTGAAGGGAACTTCAGTATTCCTTCTCCAGCCAGTGCAAGGGGTTTTGGTCTCAGCAATACTCCAGTATCCAGGAAAGGGCATTTAGCCAACCAGACTGACGCAAAGGTAAATAAGAATTTAAACCATAACATTGTGATCTATGCATGAACTTGCCTTAATTTCTAAATTCTATAGTATTTTTTAAGAACTATCTTGTTAAAGTGGTATTGCAGGTTTTCTAGTCTGTACAACTTCTTGGACTGTAGGTTCATTACACCATAGTTCCTTAAAATCTTTCAGTAGTCATTGAGCAATCTGACTAATTCTTATAATATGATCTCAACCTCTCTCCTGGGGAGAGCTGTGGGCAGTAAAATGTGTTGTTTTGACAGATTTTTTTTTTTGCTCCCACCCTATCCACCCCCTGTGTATTATTCATGTTGCTATCAATTTTCCTCAAACAGTAGGATCAAGAAACTAAGTCACGTACTTGGTGTGAGACAGTGAAATCTGTGATAAACATAATTTCCAGGAGAGATTGATTCTACAGTCATTTGCAAAGACACATGTTAGAGAGGTGGGATATATGTGTTTTGGTTTGGTTTTTCAGTTTGGTTCTTTTCATTGGGCTCACCATCAGACTAAGAATGTACTTTGTCTACTTAAAGCCTACCTTATGTTGTGAAGCATTCTTTTCATGGTTCTTCCAAGCCCCCCTCCGTTTTGTTTTGGTTTTTTTAAGCAATGCTACTGAGCTGTGAGGTTGTAAAGAGCAACAGAAGTCACAGAATTTCTCTTTAGAAATGAGATGGTTGCCATGGCAATGCTTCCACCTGCTTCTTGTCCCAGTTGAGAAAATAATTTTTAGACTCCTATATTACAAGGTTAAGCTATAATGTTTAAAACTAAATCATATAGCTAATTGATTTAAAATTAAGATCATCACATTGCTTTTTCAATATATTTGGACTGATAATACTCTGAAATTCTTGCCTCAAATATTTGTACAGGTACTTCCCAAATAATTTTTTCTATTTGTTCAAGTACTTGAGGCAAAACTGGTGTGTTCAGATGGAAAATACTTTCAACTTACCGATTTTAGTAGATGTGGTTTTGTAGTAGAAATTATCCTGAAAGCTGACTGCTACCTAGATAGGTAGTGTTTAAAATATGACTCTGAGTTTGACTCATACTTTGCAATATGCCAAATCTGGATCAGACCTGAAATGCTAAATACTTTTAAAGTTTATTTTCTCTGAAGTCCAGACAGTTGATGAAGTGTTGGTTATTTTGGCGGTCTCTTGTCAACCTCACTTGGAGCGGGATTATCACCTACATCATTTCAGTCATATTGTGTCTAGCCAGTATTAAAAATCTCCAAGTACAGAGGTACCACAACCTGTTTGGGAAACCTTTTCCCCTGTTCCCTGCTCCTGGTGAACAAGCTTTCCCAAGTGTCTAGGTTGAATCTCCAAGTCACAGGTTGTGGCCACTGGACTGTGTTTTTGTTAGACTATGGGATTAATCATGCTAAAAGCCTGGTGAGATTTGGGTGAATAGTGACATGCAGAGGAGCCCTAGTCAGCATAATCACTGAAAATGGAAGGGACAGACTTCTCTGCTCCTAAGGTTATCAAAGGAAAATTATTAGACCATTGTACCTGGTGTGAAACCCAAATAAAAAGTTCCAGAGCTCCTGGCACAGTGATGTACTGCCTACAGGGGATTTGCAATGGGATGCAGGGGAAAGGGCACTATGCAACTGTTTAAAAATTATTATGGGATTATCTAGAACTTTCTATGAACTGTTTAGTGAAAGGACCAAAGGTCAGAAAAAGAGGGATCCATGTAGCAAGGAAGAACAAACTTGGTTTGATTTCTTTTTTCACCAGTTTTTGCTGGCTGCTTTTCATCACCTTATCATCCCCTGTTTTTTGGGTTTTGGTTTTTTTTTGTTCTCTTATTTTCTGTGTTTTGTAAGATATCTTACTCTTCTTTATTTTGCTTAGCTTTCCCCCCTTTTTAAAAGATAGGCCCAATGAAATCCTCTGGGACCTCTATTACTTCTAAAATGTAAATGTTTCAGAGAGGACTTTTGTTAGATCGTAAGGTACATACACAATTTTATCTGTCCTCGTGACTTTGAAAATACTTAACTAGTTCAGATTTTTGGAGATGTTTTTCACATAATCTGGCCTTCAGTCCTACTCCTTCATTAAAATTAATTTTATTAAGTATCTGATCACTGCTTATGAAGTGCAACAAAAAAATCTGTGCCATTTGCCCTTCTCTCTCCCTCATAAAATAATGGGTTTTGGGTTTAACTTCTTTTTACATCCAATCTATTTACAGAATATTTGTTGCATTTTTATGTCCCTTGATAGTGGTAAACTTTTTAATCTTAGCCTTTAATTTTATCATGATCAGTTATTGTGTTATCCCTATACAGTACTCTTAGGATTTGTCCTTTGACTCCCCTTGCTTACACAACTTCATTCTGACTTTCAGATTTTAAAATAACTTTTTAGCCAGATCTTTTGCGGTCTTACTATGGTTCCTGTCTTTCTTCATGAGAAATAATTTGTCATTTCATCTTCACTATAATACGTTTCATTAACTGCCAGCCTGCTCAAAGAGCCTGTCTCTTTCAGACTCTTAGCAAGAGAGAAGATGGTTGCCTAAGTTTATTAGTCTGCCTTTTATTTTTTAATATCTATTGTCCTCACAATGCTGCACATACTTTTCCTCAGAATCACAAATTCTACTATCTTAAGACAGGTGTCACCTAACTGGCATTGCATGCAAGTTATCTCCAACAGTTTTCACCTGCAGTGTTCGTATCTGGCAATTGTTACCACCTTTAGAATAAAAAAAAAAATCAGTTACTGGATGTTTCCTATCAAACTGTTTTTCAAAGCAACCTGAGTAATTTATGTTTTTCATTACCACCAGTCCTAACTGTCACCTAATCAAACAGTTATTTTCCAGTGTCTTCCTTGTTGATGGTTTTGCTTGTATTTTTTAAGTTAGATCAGTGTTTTTGTTGAAAGATAACCCTCTTTAATTCTGTTAAGTTTCTACACCCTTGGAATTTAGTCTTGGGTTCAGCAGGAAGATACGAAGAATATGTTTTTAGTATTTACTTGAGTTCTTAAAATATTTTTGTAAGAAATCTCAATAAGTTTGCTGAATATTTGAAAAGTCAAATGTTTCTAAGAGTGTAGCATTTGTTCTGTTTTATATTCAGTCAGAAAATATACTTTGGTTCAATCCCCAAATAATGGTTCATCTCACAAATACTGAATATGTAAAAAGAGATTTAAAATTTGTATTGAAAATAGCCTTATGTGCAATGTGTTTCAGCAGTTAATAACTGCTTTCTGCATTGTCAGACAAAACACACACTTCATACACCAATGCCAGCTCGTAAGTTCAAGAACAAGCGAAAGCTGTTATGAACATTTTTTTCTTACTGATCCTATACAAAGACACCAAAGTGCATTTAGCCAAGGCTGCAAAGCAATTCAAAATCACTCAAGGCTGCAGAAGTATTTCTATGGCCTGATTTTGTTGTTTGGTGGGGCTTTGTTTGTTTGTTAATTTGTTTTCCCAAAGCAATCACTTGTGCTGTGTGCCTATGAAACTTCTTTCAGGAAAGATACTAACATACTTTGTTATGTATTTATGTGTTTTGTCATGTTAGAACTTTGTCTCTTGTATTCCTCAGTATACTGAACAACTTTCTAGCATGTAATTTTGCATGCTTCTGGCAACCGTACAGCTGTATGGATATAAATCACCTATGGCAAGCCTTTTGAAGGTCCTGGGTGTGAAAGTTGCCAGCCTGTGCCAAAGCCTTTCCCATAATGACAGATTCTGTCTTGGGCACAATGATCATGAAATGATGGATTTTTAAATTCTTGGAAAGGAAGGAGGGGGGCCAGCAGAACTGTCTTGGACTTCCAGAGAGCTTGGCCCCCATCCTGAAGTGCAAAGAAGTACAGAAAGGCAGAACATTCTCCAAGAGTGAAATCTTAGGTGCAAAACCAAGCTGTGCCATGTGCCAAATGTGGTGAGGAAGAGTGGCCTAGCTGAACAGAGAACTTGGACAGGAACTCAGAAAAGATTTTATGACCTTTGGAAGAAAGCGCAGGAAGCTCAGAACTACAAAGATAATGTGTGCTTATGGGGAATACAATTAGAAGGGTCAAAGCACAACCAAGATTTAATCTGACTACTGCCCTAAAAGACAATAGAAATGTTTCTCCAAATGCATAACCAGCAAAAGGACGGCTAAGGATAATCTCCATTCTTTATTGGATGCAGAGGTAAACAGTGACTAAGGACAAGGAAAACATGAGGTGCTTAACACTTAAAGTGATTAACAGTAAGACCAGTCATTCTCAAGCCACTCATCCCTGTGAATTGGAAGACAGGAATGAGGAGCAGAATGAAGTCACCACAATCCAAGGGGAATTGCTCAGTGGCCTGCTCTGCCACTTATTCACACTCAGGTCTATGGGGTCAGGTGGGAGCTGGTGGAACTGCTCAGAGTCATTTTCCTCCATTTACCAGCAGTCCTGGCTAACCAGGAAGGTTAGGGGAAATGCAACACCTGACTACAGGACTGGAAGGAGGATCTAGGAACGGCAGGCCTGTCATCCTGACCTTGGTGCTGGGGAAGCTTATGGAGCAGAACATCCTGATGGCACTCAGGACAACCAGGGGATCAGGCCCACACAGCATGGGTTTGTGAAAAACTGTCACCAATTGGGTCTCCCATGACAAGGTGTCCCACTCAAATGGATTAGGGAAAGCCTGTGGATGTTTTCTACCTGGACCTTAGTCAAGCCTTTGATGTTGTTTCCCACAGCATTCTCCTGGAGAGACTGGATTCCTATGGCTTGGACGGGTGCACTCATCTCCAAGTAAGAAAGTGGCCCAATACATGGCCCAGAGCATGGGGGCGACCGGTCACCTGGACTGCTCCCCAGGGCTCAGGTTTGGAGCCAGTCCTGTTTAATGTCTTTATCAATGATTTGGATAAGGGCATCAAATGCACCCTCAGTCAGTTTGCACACAACAAGCTGGGTGGAAGTGTTGATCTGCTGGAGGGCAGGAAGGTTCTGCAGAGGGATTTGAACAGGCTGGATCGATGTGCCATATGGATATGAAGAATGCGTAAAGAATATTTATACACAAGAGAGCTTAAATTGGAAAAATTCAAATGAATGTTTGTCAGTTAAAGCTCAGCAGAATCAGAAGAATAATTAAAACTTCAGCATACTGTAGAGTAGGCATATGTGGTCACTGGGCTAGGAAACGAAGTATCTTAATTAACATGGGTAACAACAAGTCATTGTAGCAATATTTTATTTTGAAATCTGTATATTACCAAACCATACATATGTAAAGTACTCTGACCTTAAGATCATGATTTACTTTCTAAAAAATTATTCTCAGAATCAAGAGCAGAGAGAGAGATGCAAAGATTTTAATTGTTTTTCAAAGTTTACATCTTCAAAAATAGATTCCTTTCTGAGCATGAGTGAATGAATGCTGGTGCCCTTCTCTTTTCTAATTAAACACTTCCCACTTCACTTCTGCTCTGCCAGCTCAGATGAAAGTTTTGAAATCAACAAAGAAGCAAACAGCAAGAAAGTAAAGAAAAATGGAAAGATGGGATAGGAGATAAACAGTGATGAAATATATGGGAATTAAAGGCATCAAAGTTGCACCCCAATTTATATTAGGGTGATGAGAGACCACTAGGGTCAATGGTGCTTTTCAGAGTGTATCTATATGGAAAGAATGGAAAGGTACCTTCCCCCACCTTTTCTTAGCATACTATTTCAGAAAGATCTGTATATGTTCAAAGTAATTTTATATTTCGTAAGTTATCATATAGTATTTTCATACCTTAGACAAGGCTTGTAATACTTGATACCAGCCATAAATTAGATATTGTCAAACACACAAATATCAGAAATTCCCTGAGCTTCATAATGCTAAAAAAAGCAGAGAATAAGTTTTCTTAAACTTTTCCCTGTAGCTCCACTACTGATCAGTGTCATGAAGAAGATACTGTTTTGACTCTCTGTGGACATCCTCATGTGTAATAGGTTGCTTGTACTTTAAAATGGAAGAGAAAGATCACTGAGTTTTAAATGTTACAAGCAAATATTTCCTAAGACATTTGCTGTGGATATTGATTTAATTGTACATGAAATACAAATCCTCACTGAAGATGAATTATTGAAGAACAGAAATTATGACTTGATATGAATTTTGAAGTAGAGCTTGCACAGGTCTTAAATGTTCCATCAATTTTAATTGTGATTTGTTTCAAGGACAGCATCTGATCAAAGCAGGTTGCAGGGTGGATAAGGGAGCTCAAAAACTTAAGTGCTGTCTAATCTTTGAAAGGGTAAGTGTAGATTAAACATTACCTCAAGGTTGTGCAGACAGACAGTAGAACTTTCAGATACATAGTTGCATAGCAATAATTAATTTATTTAGTTCATTATTAGTTTAGTTTTGATCTGAGTTAATGTTAACTGACTCTTGATAATCCACATAAACTAAAATAGAAACCTGTTGACCAGCCTGTTCTGCTTTTGTTTGCTGTATTTTTAGAACTCTCAGACACTGCTTCTGATTCATGCACATTAAAACATGAAGCAATACTGTGGTTTACAGTTGGATGTTCCTAATACTTACAAATCAAGTAATCTCTGTGCAATTTAAATGTGACTACATTTCAGTAGAGCTTTGACTTAATTCATCTATGCAAAATGGCATAGTAAATTTTAGCATCTGCCTGTGTCTATTTAAGCAACATAAATAATTTACTGAACTAAAACTTCTTCATGGTTCTTCATCACTAGTGGTTAATAAAGGAAATTTAATTTAATTACTATGTCATTTTAATCATTATGGAAGAACTTTGTACTTTATAATTCATACATACTTTATTGCAAGTATATGTCAGAGCAAGGTCCAGCAGATTAAGCAGAGTGTGAAATAAGGAATAAGCAATTTTGCTGCATTTGAGATAGCACATTGGACCTGATTTATTCACCTGGACTTAAGCAGCAGGCAAAGTACAACTGTAGAGGGTGAGCCCATTCGTGTTCTTTGCCAGTCTTCACTTGAAAGAGGTAAGGTGCCTGCCCAGTGCTGTGTTCCTTGTGTGCTTTCTTAATAATTTTTAATACAAATTCCTATTCTGGAATTAAATTTATCTTTAAATCAATTTTCAACATTTATGCATAAATATAAGTGAATAAAAAAGGTTGACTCATTAAAAAATACTAAAAGAAAACCAAAACAGTTAAAAAAATAACTCCAGATCCAATTTCAAATTTCATGAAAATCAGAATTTGGGCTTGTGGATTAGGGTTTGATTTAATTTATAATTTAATACTTCATAATAGCAACAATAATCAAAGCTTTCAGGGAAAATGATACATGACAGTAGAAAATACAAGTATAGCAGAATTTAAATGTTTAAAGGGAAGCACTGTGCGAAATTTCATGGAAGGTAATTTTCCAGTTTATTATGATCCCAACATCAAGTGACCAACTTTGCATAAAATGGCAAGTTATATTTTAATAGTAAATCATAGTTATTACTGAATAGTTTTAGGCAGAATAGAAAATTCTGGTTTGCTAGCATTGTGTATGGTAGGCACAAAAATTAACTGTCAAACCTGAACTTTATTACAATGTTTTATCTTGGACATTTTTTAAAAAATGTGCTGAATTTTTTTCACTCTGGAAAACTCTTTGCTGAATCTGCTGCTAGGTCATTAGATTTATAAGGAATGTGGCTTTGTTGCAACATAAGCCACTGTGGAGAAGGTACTAGCCTCTGCAGACTCTGTGCTGACGCTGGCAGGAAATAAGCCCTGACCAAAGAGCTTTCTTGCTAGATCTATTTTCTGCCTTCAGCAAAGCCACTGTGGGGAGCCCAGCCCTTCAGGAAAAAAAAAAAAAAAAAAAAAAAAAAAAAAAAAAAAAAAGGCATTAAAAGAGTTTGGTTTGAGTCTAAGTAAATATATCCTTTGAGAGTATAGGAAACATTTGTTTACCTTATTCATTCTAAGCTGTTGACAGAAACTCCTCTTCAGAGAATCTGGGATTTGCCAAAGTGAGGACCCAAGGATTTAGTCCAGTAATAGCCTAAGTCTTCTACTGAATGTACTGAATGAAGTATTAACGTACCCCAAAATGTGGATAAAATGAGGATCAAAGCTGTTTCAGTTTACTGAACTGAATTGAATATTGTTGAACTCAATTGAATATTGAATAATGAATATTTGTTGGTTTTTAAGAGGCTAAAGAAAAGTTCTTTTGCTTTGTTTACTGAACTTTTAAAAAAAATCTAATTGAAACCTGTGACCTGTTATTTCAAGCTGTAGATAGCAATTCACAAAATAGTATAGCCCAGGTTAAGTGAGTTCTCCAGTGCATGGAAACCTTTCCAGCACTAGGAGAGCCATGTCTCTGAGTACTGTTTGAGCTACAGACAGTCAGCAGAGCTAATGTTACTGTTTTTGTCCCGTCAACCATTCGTGTCTCTATTTCACTAAAGTCTAGATTCAGGGAATAAGAAAAATTCACCTCTGATAATTAAAAGTAGTGCTTTTTCTTTTGTCATTACATTACTCTTTATGGCTTTTTGGCACACTCAAAATAGCATTATGCTTTATTGCCTAACATGGCACAAGGTGACAGGTGAGAGATGTTCTAAGTGTCTCAGCACAGCACTCTATGTCAGAGAAACGATTGATTTGTCAGAAATGAGGTCTCAGGCATCAGGAAAGGAGATGTCCTTCAAAGATGGGAGAAGCCAACTTTGACAGAGGCTTACTGTATTGAAGATTGGTATTCCAAAACCTTTCTCCTTCTGCACTTTCATATTAGAAGTCATAAATAAGTCACAAATATTGCCATTTTCAGCTCCAATCTGTGTTATAGTTCTGTATTGCTGCAGGAGGACTGACGCAGAAGGAAGATGCCACTGAGGAGCTCAGCAGGATTCATGCTGCTCTTGCTCTCTCAGTGCACTGTGTCCCTGGGCACCGGAGAGGCAGTGGTCCTGGCTAATGCCCACCTCCTCCCCCAGAGAGACTATGAGAGACTGGGAAACGCCAATGAAAAAGGTACTCATGATGACAGTGAGTGATTTGGAAGTGTTCTGTGTTTTACTTTATTGCTTTGCTGTAACATTTTCAGCCAACATATAATAAAACTAGCCCTGGAAGAATACTTTGCAATATGAACATGTCCTGCCACAAAGTCCTGAACCTGTCTATAGAAGCTGGTCTACTGAGAAGGGCAACCGTGAGGCTCACTGTGTGTATTGCTGGCTTGGACATCACCATATATATTACTTAAATAATCCTTCTATAATATCATGGCATCACATTTGGAGTCAGGTAGGCTGTGTCTACCAGGAAAATGTAATTTTTACTGAATTTTTCTCACTGAGATAATAAAATTGTCAAGTTATTATTAAATACAAATTATAAATATTTCACAGTCTAATGATATAAGGACATGCCTTTCAACTCTATGGAGAAGTGAATGATTTCAATTGATAAACATATTTCTGAGTAACAGAACAATGAATACCATCCTTCTCTACAAAAGGAGCTCTCTCTCTGTAAGTTCATACATATGTAAATGTATATCTATATAAATTTTGTTCTGGCTCTTAAGAAACCACAGAATCAATTGTAACCAATTGTAAAATTCAGAGCATTTTTTCACAGTCTCAGAGATGCTTGAGATTATACTATAGCAAGATGTTACCTTATAAAGATGTTACATTTAAAAAACCCCAGCAAATATTTTAGCCCAATAGAGAGCATCAACCCAAGCCTTATATGCTATTTTTGTTACCCTCTGAGTCTACTGGATAAGCAACAAAATTGAAAAGCAGTTTCACCTGTCTTCCTGATACTGGTATTGAGCACTGAACAGAACTGTAGTTCTACCTGCAATTCCGTAAAATTTAGCCTGGAGTTTGAGTGAAAAGAACTCATTCTAAGAAAATCCTCAGATGTTTATAAGCTTTATATTGACAGGAAATATGATTTAACATCTCCCCTTTATCAATGAACACATGGCATACATTTCAGAATTAACACAAGGATGTTAGAGGTGACTGAAGTATAAATTGGTTCAAGAGAAATTACTTTGTTCATTGAGGAAAAGACTAGGTCTAGTTATTATACTTAATTGTCCTACAGATGGCACAGGGAATTGCAGCTTGCTGACTACTCAGTCTGGAAGAACACTGGTGGAAAAGGAATGATCTGCATATAGTTTTTGGCTTTTCAATCATATTTCTGTCATAAATACAAAATCATACTTCTGTTGTATGACAGAGTAACAAACCATTTTCTGAATTTCTGAAAATTTCCTGCATGTTCCTCCTGGAAATCTTCCCCCTTTAGCTGAATAAATGGCCATCAGCTGCAATGAATTCAGTCAGCTTCCAGTCTGAAGAGAGTCATTCAGTCACTCTAAAGGACAGAAATCAATTTCTGAAATTTACTATTTGAACAGAACTTACTTTTTTTTGTGTGGCTTTTTTTTTTTTTTTTTTTTTTTTTTTTTTTTTTTTTTTTTTACTCAGACTATCCAAGGGATTGTTTTGAGATTTTACAGCATTCCAAAGGAAATTCCAGAGATGGCCTTTACATCATCCAACCAAAAGAGGAACCAATTGTTGTCTTTTGTAACATGCAGGATGGTGGCTGGACAGTAATCCAGCACATTACAGCCAACAGCACTGTTGACTTTGACAGGACTTGGCAGGACTACAAATATGGATTTGGCTCGGTTCATGAGAACCACTGGTTAGGAAATGAATACATGCATCAGTTAACTGGCAGCTCGGTGCAATATATACTTGGAATTAAACTTGTGAATCTAAATGCTGAAGTCAAATGGGGACAGTATGAGCCATTCCTGATTGAGGGGGAAGAGTCTCATTATCGAATCAGGGTTGGTCTTTACAAAGGCAACGCCACTGATGCGCTGACCCTGGACACAGAAGCTTATCTCCATGACAACCAGAAGTTCACCACCAAGGACAGAGACAACGACAACTACTTTATGAATTGTGCTAAGCTGGAACTCAATGGCATTCCCGGGGGAGGCTGGTGGTACGACGCATGTGCTGGGGCAAATCTAAACCGCAGGAATGTGATATACTGGCAAAAAGACTGCAGCAAGCAGCACCCCTGCAAGTTTGCATGGATGATGATCAAACCCATCGAGCACCACCAGTCACCCCCTACCAAGGCCTGCCCCTGTCAGAAAGTTGAACTGTAGACAAGCCATGTGTATTTGACAGGAACATGGACTCTTTTTCAAGTGACTAGAGTGAACTCACTGACTGAGTAATTACCCAAAGTAGCCCTGACTGGAAATTTAAATTGGGCCTCTGTAAGGGATTTATGATGACATATTGTTCAGGACTGGAACATGTCACAGTAATTTGCCAACCACACAAGTGAGAATCTGTCAGAAATTGAGGCCTTTACAACAAGATTTGAATAACCAGAAGATTTAAATAATTCACTTTATACTATTTTAGCCATAAGATAAATCTGGTATGAAATCCAGGATATGATGTCTTGTACAACATATATATGAATAAAAATGCATTTCAGAAGGTTTTGCTCTGGTGTTAATGTTCATGATTGATTGCACATCTGTAATTGCACATCTTCACATATCGTGCAGGGAGGAAATTTTCAATTAAATACCTACATTTACAAAATGCATACTGAAGAGTATTGTGTATCATAGGGCTACAACAGGCCTTTTCTTTCTAACTTAAGTGAATTTTAATATTTAAAATTGGAATTAACCTAATCTCCCATATCTTCTTTCCCCCTTCATTGACTCTTCCTTTATCTCTACTTTTTAATGATCCCATATACAGTGAAGTATTCAGTACAGGCTTTTCTTTTCTACCTTCATTTCAGAGCACTCAGCACTTATGGGATTGTCAGATTTTCCATTTGAAGTCACTGATCCAAAGCTTACAACCCCTCTGAATTTTTCCCCCAAGAAACTCAGTTAATACATTTTAAAAAAGATCAAACTGATATTGCAATTGTTTATTTATTCCTCCATTCTTACTCTGAAGATTACTCCACTTTATTTACTATTGTTTGACTGTTACTTCTCCCTGTTCCATGCTGTGCTTCAGTTTTGGTTTTTTTTTTTAATACCACTATGAGGAGAGAATGTTGTCTTTATTTCAAATTTAATAGTTTGAATTGTTTTAGTACTCAACCTTGATATCAATTAAACAGTGCCTTTTGTCTAATTATAAAATAAAATTTAATTATAAATTATTCTGTTTTAAAACAATAAACAAAAGGATTTCAATTTTTATAACCTTGTTTTGAGACCTTGTTTTCTTTTACCAATGAGTTCCTTCACACAGTTATATATCATTGGAATAACTGAATGACAACTGAAGAGTTTTTATTGTTGCATTAACAAAATGTCAGAGTAATAATTAGATTATCAGGTGTAGTTTTTTTAGATATTTCAGTTAAGGAAAGTCCACCAACAGATGCTGTCAAATTCATGCTTTTTAATTTAAGATATTATTTATCATTTTCATGATAATTGCTTCAGAAAATAAATTCCATTGTGTTTTGAGAGGACCAAAGCTGTCATGATTGCTTAAGATGAGAAACTATTTTGGAAGCAGAAAAGTCAAGAAAGCAATTTTTAGTTTTCTTGATGCACTGCAGCATTTTCAGAGATACAGCTATGTGATGTGGGTGAGGCCAACATAGCACACATGCCAATTTTGCAGCATCTGATTTTTTCCCCCTGAATTGGTGTTCAAAGACAGAAGTGTGATAGAAGAAATGGTTAGCACCTGACTTGAGTTTATATAATTGAGTCAATTTAATGTGGGTTCTGCATAATTCTATAAGGATGCCTCCAAAGTTGGGATGAGGATACAAGAAAATCACCTGAGTGCTGCCAGTCTCACATAGCATTTGTTAGAATTCCTGGCCATATAGCCAGATGTTCACATACCTTCCAAAAACATGTTTTTAATAACCATGATTTGGAAACGTGGAAGGGAGAGTCCACAGGTGGCAACTGATCATCAAAGGCGGATAACCTGCTCTGCAGCATATTCTTAGCATGTTCTGTAGGATTTTGGAGGTAAGGACTCTGCAAATAAGCTGTATTAATAACTTGGGCACCAGCAGACCAAATCCAGCTGCCCAGTTCTGGAGGGACTCTAGAAAATACTTTAACTGGATCCCTACAAACCTATGCACTGAATTCCAGTACAAAAATTAAATTTAAAATGTAATAAAAATTCATAACAAGAAGTCTACCAGCAAAAACCCTGAGACATTTAATCAAACTCAGGGACTGAGCAATATTCCAAACTTCTAAACAAAGTATGGATGGAAATGACTATTGAAGCTGGGTTAGAGACTAAGGAAGAAAATAAATAAGACTATTCTAGAACATCCATCAGCATGGAACCTTTAGAAGTAGACTAAACTTTACTTCACAATTCCTTAGCAAAAGACTATCTTAACTGAACAGATATTTTTTTCTTCCATTGATGAACCTTCATCACCAGACCAGATACCCAGAGCAATGCTGAAGGCATCTGGCCTTTATCATTGAAATCACAGACTGAAACATGGGGGTTTCTATTCTACCCACTCCTAAGTTCTTTTGCCAGTCACATTTCTCCTATGCTCTCTCTCTTAGCCTTTCCTGATTTTTCTGCATCCTGCAGTATGGGAAAGAAGGAGGGTCTTCCCAGAAGTACCTGCTGAAACAAATTTACTTGGTCAAAAAAATATCCTTCCAAAATGGGTAAGTATGACAGGGTCTAGAGCAAAAGGTTCCAGCTCCAAGCACCTGTGAATGGGAGGCATGTTCCACTTTAACCATGGAATCTCCGAACAATAGCAGGGAAATAGTTTTCTTTACCTCTATTACTTTGCATTTTTCCTTATATTGCCAGCTGCAGGAAATGTAACATACAATACCACATTAATAAACTCAGAATTTATTCATTATTTGTCTTTTAAAATAATTCAATTTTCATATGAGAAAGTGCTTGCTTTTGTTTCTGACTTCCCAGACTTCAGATAACCTTATTTTTATGTATAACCATAGATTTAAAAACACGACAAAGTGGTTTTAGGGGCTAGCTGACTAATGTCGTTTATTTATTGATGCAATACACTGTATCAAAAAATTAACAATGTTAGCTGCATGGCCTCATTTTCTCTTACTAGAACTAACAAACAATTCTTTAGTCACTCTCATGTCTTTTGTGTTTCAGAAGGCATCAGGCCACAGTCAGAGTGGGGGGCTACAGAGCTGAATCCAGCCACGCTGCACAGCTGGAATCCCCACTGTACCCTCTCTCTACTCCTCCTCCTATAGCTACCTGATGAATTGCACACTAAAGGAGACCTTATGGACAACACACACTAAAAACAGCTATCTGACCTCCACTACATCTAGGTTGCTGCTGCACCTAAGGATTAAAAGATATTTCAGCTTTGATCTTGGCATTGTAATCCAGGAATTCAGTGAAAGATCCCCCAGCTTAAGAGGCCTACTGAAATAGAAGCCATCAGCAACCAGGGTCTGGAGGAGGACCTGCTGACAAGAAAACTTCTGAAGGATTTGAAATGTTTGTTTTATTTGAGGAGGACTGACTTTGGTATATCAGCAGATACATGAAGAAACTACTGACATTTAGCAACCAATGGCAAAAACACGAGTAAAAGGCAGTGTTTTTAGTGAGTGTAACAAAGACTGAAGTTCCTTAATCATAACAAAATATATTCACCAAGATGGGAAAAACAATTGTAACACCATCCCTTTCTGAAACCACTAGTAGTCATAGATTATCATCTCCTGTTTAACAATATGATGTTATCAATTTTAAAATATTTTAACACTTACGGGTAGCTATTAATAAAATCATAAACAAGAAGCTTATTAAAGCTCAAGGTTTTATGACACTCAACTGTCAAATGTATGTGGAAGAAAAATTCTTAGGTAGTTCAAAAGGCAACAATGGATATTTGGGGGAGACCACATAAGAAACAGAATGGCCTCTTACTGACTTGATGGGGTTAAAGCCAAGTAGTAAAGCGAAAAGACACCATATCATTTTCTAGAGGTAAGGGTTAGCTAGCCTGTGTTTCAAAACAGAGAAGCCACTGACTACCCAACAGCTGCAGGAGCATTACACGAGATGTCCTTTGCTAAGCTCTTCACTCTAAGTAGTCACAGAAAGTGCACAACTGTATCCAAGTGTTCTACATATGTTTAAAATTCTGGGAACTCTTCCGAATATTTATCTACAAACCTAAATCATATTTGCAAAAAATGAATGTTAGTTGATAAATTATGGGGATCTGGAATACAGAGGGATGCCAGATCATAATAAAAGGGCAAGACAAAGTTTGTGAGAAAATTCAATACTTTAAAATATAGAAGGGGCTGGGTCTCTGTGTATTTATGCATCTATACTGATGATACATACATATCTACATATATGTATGTGTATGAAATTATGTAAAACCAAAATGTAATTTTACAAAAAGCATTTCATTAGTCCATGATAATAATCAATTACACAATCAGTAAAAATGTAATTGAATGGACAGATAACAAGATAACAAGATTGTCTGTCCTACACTCCATAAGTCCCACAACACTTTAAAAGGTACAAAATACAATCAAGTACTAACTGATACTCTGATGAGGACCGAATTTGTCTTTTTGTGGTTTCGATTTTTTTAAAGAATAAGCATCCTACATAACAATAAAGTAATGCACACCTCTTTATATAGTTCTTGATATTTACAATGTACTCATGTGTGGCCATGTAATCTCTCACATGGTTAGGTGTTAGCAGCATAATTTGTGCACATATTTCACAATTACATTGAACCAACATTGTTGCATCCATCACTGTGTATTCTAATACATTTACTGAGGAGAGAGTCCATACACATTTACAGAACATTCTTGATCAACAGATGTCAAAAACAACATAAAATACTCCATTTAATTTCAATAAGAGCCAATGCTTCATTTGAGCAATAACAGTGCAGCTAGCAGAAGCTGTTACTACCTCATAAATTTTGCCTTTAATTACAGCTTGTGCCCCCAAAAAGACACATTCATTTGCTGAAACATAATTTACTGAATGACTGGTTTGATGTAATATAAAATAAATCCACTCTAACAACCAATTTGTACATAGTTACTGTACACAGGAAAAGCTCTGGATAGTGAAAGAGCAAAGCTGATGAAAGAGTTTTTATAAAGACCTCTACTTTCCTTCCATAAGTAACCATTTGCTAATGCACAAAAAATAGTAGGCCCAGTATGGTGCATTACAAAATCAATCATGTGACTTTAGAGAACATATTTTTACATTAGTACACTGCTAATCTTTCACTGACAAAATCTTCCCCTGTGGACACTGGGGCTAAAAACATGTTAATTACTTGTACTGTGATTGTTGACATGGAGGATTTATCTAACTGTAGGAGAAAATTCTGGTGGTATGATAATTTAATACATTATAGACAATTTCATGGAGAGCAATGGTACATTCACGATGACTTAAACAATCCCTGAAATGTGCAACTGGGTAATGTCACCACTGCAATGTCCCACTAAAGTGTACAGCAGATATAATATGAAGAGTATCTAAAACTAATATTCCAAAGTATCTCGCTCAGAATTATGATAGAAAAGCTAGAACTGAATTTGAACTTTGTGTACATGAAGATCTTTCTCATTCTTTTTTCTTTAGGACTTCCACACCTCGTGACTCCTGTTGCCATTAAATTTGTTTTCTCTGGACCTTTTCTGAAGCTTCTTGTTTGTTCCCACCACAAGGAGGTCACCATCTCCATTCCAAAGGCCTTCTGCTGAAGGCAGCCCCTTGCTTACCCACTCCCTCGGTCAGCGCCGCAGGGCTCCTGCCAGTACAACACAGGCATTAGGAAGGCTCAGGGAGGTCAGCTCTGGCACCAAGAGCCTTCTCAAATCTCAGCCAGTGGTCAGCCTCAGCTCATAACTAGGCCAGTACAACCCAGTCCCAGAAGCCACAGCCACCAGGGGTGTTGACTTCAGCACATCGGTAGCAGATGTGGTTTTGCTGGACCAAAAGAGGGTGCCTGAAGATAACTCATGTTTCCAAGCACCTGATGTTGACTAGTACTTGGAAAGCTATCTAATGACAAAGAATTCAAAATGTTTTGAATAGTTTTACAGAAACATTAAAAATTTGCTTAAAAAATCTTTCCTCTTTAAAAGATGCCAGTTCTCTCACTGTTTATATATAGGTAAACATTATGGAAACTTTTGGATCAAGGTGTAGCACAACAAAGGAGATTGCAAAAAAGACTTTCCCTGTGTTGTAAATAGACCGTTGTAGATAGATGTTGTAGATAGATAAAGATAGCTTTACAGTCACTTCTGATTTGTACCATTGTCACCGTTGAATAAAATTTTAAAATTTCCTTCACAGGTACCGGGAACTGGAGCTATCACCATTTTTACAAATGACAGTAACTTGCTTGATGGAACTGATATTGGGACTGGTTTCTTCATCTACAAAATACACTATCTATTTCTTCCACTATAAGCCCTTCCACTATGAGCCTTCCTAAGTCTCCACAAGAGTCATCCTTAAAGTGGAAATTTTCTCAGCATTACCTTCTCATATAATGCATGTGTTCATTTGGAGTATTATGAATCTCCATAACCATTTAGTATTGGGGATTGACAGCATTTACCCTTTAGATAGTCCTTGTTTCATCTCGACGGCTGATGGTAAAGCCTCAAAACAGAGGTAGCACAGGCTGCATTGCTTGGAACACTGAAAACTAAATAAACAATACACTAGCAAAGAACTATAGAAAGAAACAGTTCTGCTCTACAGGCAGACAGACTGAATGACTTAACCTGATGACTGGATGATCATCCCAGTCTAATTTCTAGTAGTTTATAGTTTACTCCATCTTTCTCAGGCTGAAAGAAAGGACACAAGACACCAAACACAATAATTGTAATGCAATTCTACTGCATAGTAAAAAACAATCTGTGTTGCTCATAGCAGCCAGTGACATTTTTATCCCAAGCAAACTACTTTCATGCAAAATTTAACTTTTCAGCAGATTTTTTTAACCACTAGACACAACAGCAATGGCTTTGAAAATACAGAATTTTCTAGGTTACATCAATATCTGTATTTCTCCTTATTTCTTATACAAGAATGATTATGGTAGTCTGGTATTGCCCTGCCAGTATAGTTTCTCTTCCACTTTTTTCTTTTTCCACTGGCAGAAAAGCAGCATCTTAAAAGTCTTCCTGAAAGTTTTATTACAGAGGGCATAACAAATGGGGTTAACAGTGCTGTTCACATAGCACAGCCAGTATCCAAGGTGCCACAGTGTCAGGGGAATGCAGTCTGAGCAAAATGTGGAGATCAAAACCATGATATTATAGGGAGTCCATGTGATTATAAATGCCAAAAGAATGGCGCTTAAAGTCTGTGCTGCTTTGCGTTCCTTTATAAGAACCATCCGTTTCCTTTTGGTGATTTGGTTATTTATATTTGGATCCATGCTTTTGATGGAAGGGTCCTTTGACAGAGCAGCAGAACAAGGAGTTATTTTTACTTTCCGGCAACCACTGTTGGCTTCCTGGGTGCCATCAGCCTTAACCACCAAACGGAATTTATAGGCCACACATTTTTTACTTTTTTGTACGTGTTCTTTGGTAGGTGACAAAAAGTATTTCTGGTTCTCAAAATCACTTTCTTCAGGTTGGTCTTTGACAACAACATCTGTAGTCTCATTATACTCTTCTGCCTTACTTTTAGATGGACTTTTGTAAGTTACTTGGAAAACTGAGTCAGCGGCAAGTTTATCCTCCTCTTCCGACGATGCGTAGCTGCTGCAGGTGGTTAACTGGTCAGCCTTAGCCCAGTCCATACACGTACTCGCTGCCTGGGAGGCCTTCGCTGTAGCTGATGTACTTCGGCTAGATGAAGACCAAGAGGCCTGGCACCTCTCTCTTTTGACTAAGTTTTGTTGCTTGCAGCTGAAGCAAGACTTCAGGAGAGTTTTCTGAGGCTTTATTGTCTCATACTCTGCCACAGACTCTGAGCCCTGCAGTTCAGCGAGGTCCTTGGTGCGTTTCTCGGTCTCTTTATAAATGCGGCAGTACAGAATGGTCATCACAGACACAGGAATGTAAAAAGCAGCAATTGCAGTACCAAAGGTAATGATGGGCTCATATAGAAACTGTATCTGGCACTCTTCAGGTGGTACTGTTCGTTCACCCACAAAATACTGCCAGCACAAGATTACAGGTGCCCACAACATGAAGGAAATCAGCCAAGCCATACCAATCATGATACCAGCTCTTTTGGGTGTGCGTTTGGCCCTGTAAGTTAAAGGCCTTGTGATGGAAAAATATCTGTCAAAACTGATGACTAGGAGGTTCATTACTGAGGCATTGCTAGCTACATAGTCCAGTGCTAGCCACAGGTCACAGGCGAGGCTTCCAAGAGTCCAATGGCCTATGAGTATATAGGATGTATACAGGTTCATAGAAAATATCCCAATGATAAGATCTGCACAGGCAAGGCTGAGCAAATAATAATTGTTGACAGTTTTGAGCTGACTGTTAACCTTAAAAGATATCATTACAAGGATATTTCCCACTATGGTTATTAAGCTTACAATTGCAGTTACAGTGGCAATAGTAATGACTTCCCAGAGGCTATGCCCTTCTAACTGCTTATGGTTGATGGATGAACTGTTTACAACAGTAGAATTGCTGAATAAATTGACTTCCATTCTTGTCCTTGGTGTATTGTCATCAGGACCTTAGCACTGTTGCATACTGTTTTCTGTACTCAGAAGCATCCTTTTGGAGATAGCTATAAAGATCAAAGGAAAAGAAATCAGAAAATTTAAGTAGCTCATTAAATAGCACAGATTTTCATTAGTTACCATGAAAACACTTGTGAAACAACCCATCACATTATTTGTGTTCTCTTTTTGCATTTTGATTGTTCAAAATTGTGAACATAACTAAAACACACAAATCTACATCCTAGGACAACATGCTCTGGCATTTTATGACATTTCAAAATGCAATCTAACTATTATTTCCTAAGACAGTTAACCACCCCAGCTCTTACATTTTGAGTACCTTAGGAACCCTCTACATATTCTCAAATAAAGACATTTAAAGTTTTGCAGTAAGATAGTGAGTCACTGTGTTGTTTCCTACACTAATTAAAAATGCATGCTAAGGTTTCAGGAATTAGCTTTGACATATTTATAAAAGTCACCAACAACCGAAAGAGAGTAAGCGAATACATGGGGGTGCATGTGAGTAAGGAGCCACACTGGCATGGTGATAGCAAGAAACAAAAAGGTGTTAGAAGAGCTTGAGGCAATGGAGGGTAATCTTTGAGCAAATGAAGCAGGCGAGGCCAAGAAGATGTTTGTGGGAAAAACTCTATCAAGAGATCTTAGGACAGAGGAGACTGAGACTGATGGGGTTAAGCATGAAGTACAGTCTGGGTAGTTTGGATGAGTGAATGGTAGGATTGAGAATACAGAGGAGTAAACTGCAGACGAAGAAGCAGAAGCAGAAGATAACCATAGTGGTAAAAAATACAAATTTAACAACCCATTTCAAATACCAGTTTAATACTTGCATAAGCTGCAAAAGGTGAAAACAGGACCATTCTGGTGCATTAATGCATGCATGACACTGACATCCATTGCTCTCTACATTTCTCACTGCCGTTTCTTGTGTCAGTGAACCTGTATCGGGCAAAATTTCTTTCAAAGATACTTGCTGGGTTTTAGTAATTCCATCACATCAGGTGATGCTAATCACTAATTCCATGCTTAGTCTCACTTAGTAGTGTAATTTTGAAACAGTCAAATAGTATTCAGTTTTTAAATTCAGAAATGAAAGACAGATTATTAACAAATTTTTCTACTGGGATTTTAGCCTGTAAAAAATGGTATGATCTCTTTTTTCAAAGCAGACATAGCTTCAGCTAAAATTATCACATGAATCACCTATTAAAGTCCATTTCTAAGTCTTTAAGATTCTCTCTACATCAGATCTCTATTATATGGTCCTCCCTATCCATCCAAACCACTTCTCTGTGCTTTCATCTTTCATCCTAACTCTCAGAACATTGTTTTCTTTGGTCTTAGCAAGTGTCTTTTTTTTTTTTTTTCCTGCAAGCTTTTACAGACTATCTCTTTCCTAGATCTGTGTTTTGTACCAAGAGGTTATGTCCTGTCTCTCACCAGCTCAATAGAAATTTTTACAGCCACTAGTTGAACTTTCAGAAAAGCATGTAATTTTCTTTTATTGTCCTCTTTGTTCAATCTTAGAGGTGTTTAAGAGGTGTCTGGACCTGGCACTGGCTTAGTGTTTAGGCGTTACAGTGGTAGTTCTGGGTTCTGGATTTGATTTTAAAGGCCTCTTCCAACCTTGATTATTCTACAGTTCTGTGATTCTTATTTGCTTTTACTGTTTCCTTCATTTTATTCCCCAGGTCTCCTAAATATCTACAGAAGTGTATAATGTTTCTACTTCAAACCCTGTTTATATAGTGATCTCTTGTGGTGATGAAACAATGGTAAGTTTCCTGATATACTGAGACTTCTGCCTATAGTACTTCTCAGAATGGTTCTCCTCCATCTGTGTCTGCCATCTCCCATTTTATATTTAAATGTTTCTGTATCTGTATTCTGCTTATACACTAATTCAACAGGATTCTAACTCATGTATAGACCTTGCAGATTAGCAACAATCCTAATATAGGCATGTGCTTGCTTGGCTCTCTCTCTCCAGCCTCCAGAGCCAGTCTAGCAGCCAAGAATAGCTGAAGTGCCACAGCAGCTCTAATTAGTCCTATGCAAAGAAGGGTATTTCATCTTGGTTCTGCATTCTGGAAAGATTTCCCCCAAGTCAGAGCTGTCTTGATGGCTGGTGCACTGCCTTTACAAATCCTTACAAAAACTTGAAGGGTATGAATTAATTTCATGTGAAACAAAGGTGTCTAGAGGAGCTGCATGGCTGTGGGAGGTAACTGAGCTTGAGAGAGGAATCTGTGTTTCTGTTACTTCACATGGCTTATGCTTATTTTTCTGTGGACAGTTAACAAAGTTGTTCTGTGCCTTAAAAGCTCCATGTGACAATTTTCAAGCATGGCAGTGTGGTAGTGGGTTTAGTGTGGCAATGTCAGGGGACAATGAGGGAAGGTGAGGACAATGCCAAAGCAGGTGGGAGCTGAGGCCTGACCAAGGAGCAGCAGGATGTGGAGAAGCACGTTTGGTTCATGAGAAGGCAAGAGACAGTGATAGCCCAGAGCTTGCACAGCAAGTCTGGAGTGATAAGGCATGTCTGAGACCAAGCCAGAAAGCCCAGCCAGCAGGTCTGACCAGGATCTGAGCCAGGATTGAAGAGACAGAAGGCCAGGTGTAGATGTAGCTGCTGCCTGGCTGCAATGTAGCACAGGCAAGGGCCAGCGGTACAACTTGCTGGCCTTGGGCTTTTGCATGATATCTGCTAAGTCTAGAGATGGTCTTAAAAAGGCACAGCTATGAATATCAGGCACATGAATGAACCTTTACAAACTACATTTGCCTTTCACCGAGTTTGAGCAGCCATGTAAAACAATTGCAGATTGTTTCATCATTCTGCCTTTTTTTTTGCCAGAAATGGCATTTGCCTCAGAAGAAGGAAGACTGGAAACTGTATAGATGCTGTGCCCTGTGTAATGCTTTGTCTTTGTCATAGATAGCAAGTGTCCCCCCTCTCAGGTCACTTACACTCCCTAACATTAGCAATTAGGAAGAAAGACTGTTCAAACCACGCCATGTGGATTGCAGACTTCAGAGCAACAGGAGAAGCAGGAATTATTGTTGTTGTTGTAGTTGTTGTGACACAGATGTTCTTGGTTTAAACTGTCATGGGTTGGATGATATGTTATGGAAGCTACATAATTTCTTAATAATTTATTAATAAAAAGCACTGTTTGGTCATGAAAAGCCTTCCCTCCCTAATGGGCTGTTTTACTGTGATGTCTATAAAGTTGACAACAGCTGACTTACTAGAATACAAAGATCTCTTCTTGGCATGTTGACCATTCTTGTCATCTCGTCATCCTCTATCCTCTTTTGTTTCATAGGTCTGTGTTAACATTTTGTGGCATTACCTTTTGTCATCTATTTGTGTATCACTCAGGCTAATAGAGCCTGTGAGTGGGACTTCTGTGTGCTATAGTAACGTAATTTATGTTAATTGTCTATCATAAGAGATGATGAAATCAAAACTAATGCATATGTACAGTATCATGACTTTGCTATGTCTCATAATTATTAATGCATGATGTTCATGCTTGTGACTTGTAATGGTATTTGTTATGTGCTGCCAAGTAGTAATGATATTTTTTTCAATCTATCTGTAAGCATTAATTATTGTGAGTTGTTAAATTTGTACATAAAGTCAGCTTACAGTTATCTGCAGGCAGATTGTTCGTGTCACAGATTAATTGCACCACAGATGCAGGCACAGCTTGGGTTCACCAGGTTTTATTATCTCCATCTCATTCTGAGTCTGTCAGACCTGTGGTGGCTGCATGAGTATTGCTTGGATGTCTTTGCAATGTGCTTGCCAAAGCTGCTCCCTGTTACTTTATTGATTTGCTTTTGTGCTAAGCTAATTTACGGATTGATGCCCACTGTGCCCCGGAACTGAGCAGCCCACAACACAGGTAGCTGTGCAGCTACAGCACAGCCCATTATTTCACAAAATAGGAGGTTTGATCACATTCTGCTGGAATGATTCCTGGGTTTAAAAACCCTTGAAAACCAGATTGATGTTTTAACGTGCTGTCAAATGACAGCCTGTGTGTTCAAGAGGGATCGGGCTAGCTGGTGTTAGGAAATGGGAGAACTTCCCCAAGAACAGCATGAGTGGCTGCTTAGTTTAAGAAGAGCAGGACAAACCAGCCTAGCACTAGGGCACAAAGCTGTTCCCGTGCCTCCACTCTGTGTCCTGAGAGGAGCATGTTCCTCAAGAAGCTGCAGAGCCAATTCAGACAGTTCATGTAGCCCAGGCGCCTGCTGAACACCCTTTCAACTTGGGATCAGTTGCTTTTTCCCACATTTGCTACAGAAAGCAAAGGTCCTGCACTTGGGTCACAACAATCCCCTGCAGCTCTACACCTTGGGGCAAGAGTAGCTGGAAAGCTGCCTAGTGGAAAAGGTGCTGGAGGCACTAGTTGACAGCAGAACATGAGCCAGCATGTGCCAAGGTGGCCAAAAAAGCCAATGGCATCCTGGTGTCAGCAGTAGCGTGGCAGTGGTCAGTGCCTGCCCTGTACTTGGCACTGGTGCGGCCACACCTCAAGTTTTGTGTCCCCCTCTGTCCCTGCAAAGACACTGAAGTGCTGGAGCAGGTTCAGAGAAGGGCAGCAGAGCTGGGGAAGGGTCTGGAGCACAAGTCCTGTGAGGAGCAGATGAGGGACATGTGTTTGGTTAGTCTGGAGAAAAGGCAGCTCAGGGAGACCTTATCACTCTCTGCAACAGCCCCAGAGAAGCTGGAGTGAGGTGAGGACTGCTCTCTGCTCCCAGGTTGCAAGTGACAGGATGAAACAAGCTGCACCTGAGGACGTTTACAGTGGGTGTATTTCCTCACCAAGAGGGTCGTTAGGCATGGGAACAGGCTGCCCAGGGAAGCGATATAATCACCTTTCCTGGATTTACACATTTAAAAGGTGTGTAAATGTGGGGCTTATGAACATGGTTTAGTGGTGGATGTGGCACTGCAGGGTTAACTGTTGGACTGAATGATATCCGAAGTCTTTTCCAGCTGAAACAATTCCATAATCCATCTATGTGAGCTCTATTTTCTAAGCACTAAATACATATTTTTTTTTCTGTTTTTATTCTCACACGTGGATGCGATTTTCCCTCCCTCGCTCGTCGGTACCCGCGGGAGGCGCAGGCCCGGCCCGGCCAGGGGCTGCCCGCGCGCCAGCCGCCCGCAGGGGGCGCTGCCGAGGCCGCGCCGCCGCCATTTCCCCGGCCCGGCGAGCGGCCCTTTCCGGCAGTGGGCGGGACGGGCGCGGCCCCGCGGCCCGCGGCAGGCGAGCCCGGCCATGCAGGCGGAGCGGGGCGGCAGCCGGCCCCGCAGGGACGGGGCCCGACACGGCCGCCGGCGCCCGCCCGACGCGGCGGCGGAAGGAGGCGGCGGGGACGGCCACGGGCGCGGAGGAGGCGGGGGCCGGGGACGAGGTGGCGCTTACGGGCACCGAGGAGGCGGGGGCCGGGGTAGGCGGGAGCCCCGAGGCCGCGGGGCAGCGCCGGCGCCCAGCGCCCAGCAGCACCGGCGGGTAAGCGGCAGGAGAGCCCGCCCCCGCTCCCCGGGGGAGGCGGAGCTGAGCGTGCGGGCCCCGGGGCGGCCCCTGGGCTGGGGGCACAACCCTCCCTCCCCGCTCCTCCCCTGCTCCTCCCCTTGCCCTCCCCTCGCCGCGGTGGAGCCGGGCTGGCGGCTGTGCCCGAGCCTATGGGGGTGGGTTGGGTCTGCCGCCGGTACCGCCCGGGACGGCCCGGCAGCCGCAGCATCCCCGCGCCCTCCCTGCTCTCTCCCTGCTCTGGGACAGCTGAGCCTACGCACTCTGGTGCAGCATGCACAGGGCTTTTCTTGTCGAAATACGTGTATAATTTTGCGCTGAAAGGATAAAAGTCTTGTTTGAAAAATTGGCCTGAAAAAATATCTCCTCACTTTGCAATAGAGATGAAGAATTGTTGAGCATTTTTGGTACAGTTGTTTTAATGGTTGGACTCGAACGATCTCAGAAATCTTTTCCAGCCTTAACGGTTCTATGATCAGAAGTTGAAATGAACCCATGTCTTCTCCAGACTGTGATACTCACAGTGAAGACATGGTAACAGAGCACGCCTTACATAATGGATATCTGTGATTCACTGGATATCATTTGTCATTAATAGAAGTTGATAGTTGTGCATCAACCCATTATAAAATGTTTCAGCAGATTAAAAGTAGCACAGACATACCATTATGTACCACAACTACATAGTAAGTTTCCTGTGGAGGTATTAAAATGCGTACTCTAACTCACCATGGTATGAGATCACCACTGTGCCTTTAAAAAGAGTTCACATTAAAAATGCTTTGACTGCTTCATTCAGATTGTTTTGCTTCTGTTAGTATTGTTGCAACGTAGAAGTCATGTCACTGGATTGGCAAAGAGATTACAATGATAACCTAATGCTAATTGGTGTTGGCAGCACTGGGAGTCATAATGTAGATGGACCAGCTGCTGCCCCAATTCCAACATCGTGTTGATTAGATTCACTTTGACTTTTATGATGCCATGGCTTCAATTGAACCCACCCGCTGTTTTATCTGTATTACAACTCCCATGCTTGCTGGTGGGTGTAACAATATAAAATATTAATTTTGTTATTGTAGTTAGATACACAGCACTCATGTTTTGGGAGATGCAAGTTATGGCTCAATTGGTATAGTTACCTAGAATGCTGGTCAGTGCTTTCACATGTAAGCAATATAAATTGCTGAATTCATACTGATGTTTGGGGATAGGTTTGGATCCTGGATGCAAACCAACAGTGTTCCCTCATAAGTTGCAGGAACACGCAGGGGAAATTCAGCGCCGCTGTGTATTAGCTGGGGAAATTCTATCTTGGACTGATTTTTTCCAAATTCATTCAACCCTGCAATTAAAAATGTTTCTTTTGGGACACGTTAAAATACATTTTGCCGCTGGTCACTTTGTTACGGACTTGGATATGCTCTTCATCTTAGCTTAGCCAGGGAATTTATTTTTGACCAAGGCTATTATGACTTGGGACTTTAAAAGTGAAGCAATAGCTAAGATTTTCTGAGAATCTGCTAAAGGTTGTTATGTAATGTTCTTCCTGCACTGGAGGGTTTTGACCTTAAGCACTGTATGGTCTCTTAGCGCACCTGCCACAAATTTTGTTTAGCAGCTTGAATAGGACTGGCTTCCAGCAATCTAGCCACAGCATCAGCAGCTGTGCCAGCCTGCAGCTGTTGAATTTTAGTGCTACCTCTGAGCCAATCTCGTAATTCAGCACTTCTGGAGCAGAGAGTACCTCCTCCTTCCAGCAGTGTAACCAGCATTTATCTGACAGAGTTGCCCCCAACTCCTTAGTGTCCTCTGTGTTCAGCAGTCTCTTGTATTACAAGAGTGCACCACCTGAGTGATAGGATGCTTGGGCCAGAGTATTTTGTGTGAGACAAGACCCTGCTGTCTTTCAGCATCAGGGGGCAAATCTTCTGAAGTGGTGATGTGTGAATTGCAAAACTGGGAAATTAGGTAATAAGGCAGGGAGTGTGATGGTTGTACCACATTCCCTTTCCTTACTGTGTGCTGAGATGCTGGAGTCTTCTCAGAAAAGCATTTTTTTCCTTTCTTTTTTTTATATAGTGAAGTAGAAATTCTCATTATGTTGCATAATATTTTGGCATCAACATTTCTTAGTCAATTGCATTCACGTAAAAGCACTGTCTTAAAATGTTGTGGTTTTGGTGTTTTAATTTAATGGTTCATAAGCTTGCATTTGAAGCTACGGGAAGACATTATTTCTGACCTGTACAAGAGGGAGAAGAAAGTTTTGTGGTGGCACATTCAGCTTGCAGTTTTGTGGGGCACAAGAAGACTGGGCACTGTGTGCTTTACGCTGCTGCAGGGGTCCTGTCATTCTTTGGTTTTAGTCATGGATGATCAGCTGTGTTATTTGCAAAGCCTGGAAAGACCCAGAAATTGCTAGGTCAGTTCCCCCCTCCTCAGCTAGTGCTAGGGGAGAAGGAGATTAGGTACTGTGTTTGTATTCATGCCCTGCATGGTAGACCCAGCTGTGGATCAGAATCTTAGAGAAGAAAGCTTCATGATTTCAGCTCTTGAGAAGGCGGCTCTCTGAGTAAGTTCTCAGCTCCACTTTTGAAACGGGATGCTGCCTCTCTCAAATTTGAAATTGATTTAGAAACCATGAGAAAAAGTGTTCTTATTCCTTTTGAAGAGGGAAAAAGGATCTTCCACTTGTTATGTCTTTTTGTAAATAGTGTGCATGTTGATTTAACTGGCTTGATTATTGAAGATTTTGTGTCCTCCCTTCAAAAATGAATGTCTAATTAAGACCAGCTGGTTTACCAACTGGCAGATTTCATTGTAGATCTGTCATCTTGAATAATTTTCCATTATTTCAGTCTGCTTTAGCTCATCTATGCTATGTTAAATAAATAAAACACATTTGAAATTACTCAGTTTTAGTAAAATGTGGCATTATAATGCTTAAAGTAAATTGACATTGGTCCAATATTTTTTCCCACTTTTAGTCTAACTCAGAATTCATGTTTTATGTACTGTCAGAATTTTAAAATTGCTGTCTCTAAGAGATACAGTATATTGAAATAGAAACAACTTTCTGAAATTGTGGATATGATGCTGGGTTTTATTTTGGTGGCCCTTGACCACATTTCTTGGAGGTTGGTGGTGGTGTTTAAGGGGATTTTCTTTTGTGTTTTAGGTTTATTACATTTGCAAATTATGAAGTATTCTTTTAACTTTCCCTTCATTGATACACCGAGTGTGTATGTGATGCATGCTGCTACTTCAGTGCAGTTGGAATTGGCAGGTCTGTTTCAGTGTTCCTTTCCTGACTTTGGGCAGTGTTGCAGTAAACATTTTATTGTTCACAAGTGGATGTTAACAGATGGATTTTAGTGCAGTCTTTCTCATGTGTGGTTAGTTTCAAGATGGCATCACATTAATTTAGTATTTATTATATCTTCATTCTTGTAGTCCATGCACATATAGAAGTGATCTAAGAGAGCAGCTAATGCTATCAGCATCAGATAAATTTTCCTAATTAGTATGAGCTAACTGTTTACCATCTAAGCAACCACAGAAAGCAGTTGAGAGGCACAGTAACAAAATAACAAATACAGATAGATATATTTGATTTCCTTTAGAACACTGTGACAGAAATTGTGCATATAGAAGAATAGATTTCTGGATCTTAGAGACAATAAATCTTCTGACATTTTGTGTTAATGTTCTCAAAAGCAACTAGAAAAAATTATTTAGATTAATGTACATCAATTTGTGAGCTGTACTTAATTGCTAATGCGGTGTGAAGAGTTTCCCTTCTCAGAAGTTTCTCTTCTGTGATGGTTCAGTGTCAAACTAGTGTTTGTTAAATGGGATTCTGCAAGGCTTCATTGTGTATCTGCTCATGTTCAGTTTTCTATTAATAATTCCAACAGGGAAATATTAAAATATACAGTGTTAATATTTGCAGACAGTACTAAAGTGGCAGGAGGGTGGAGCACAGAACAGTCTCAACAAATGGAAGAAACAGCCTGCATTTGGGTGTGATTCAAGGTCAAATATAGTACAACCACATCTACATAGGAAATATCTGTAGCAGTGTGTGACTGATTAAGGTGGAACTTTATAGAAGAGAACTGTCAGCTTAATGGATGAGAAGATATCAGTTAGTGATGCCCTTACATAGAAGAACTAGTTCTATTTTTGCAAGATTGGGACTAGCTGGGGAAAACTCAGTGGGAAGGAATGAAAAAAGATGTAAAGAGGATATGACCGAGGAGGAAAGGCTGGTTCTTTCTCTTTTTATTTTATTTATGCATTTATTTATTTATTTTTTTTTTTTAATCTGGCAAAGAGGACACTTTGGATAGGCCTGGTTAGCAATGTTCCATAAAGTAGAAAGGTTGCTGCAAAGAGATCCATTTTAGGCAGGACAAGAAAAAAAACTTTATTAAGAAGGAAGAGGTTTAAGTGGGCCTCCAGAATAAAATTTATGACTGAAGAATTAGATAGCTTGTTTAGCAAGTACATGGGAATCATGACAGAAAAATATATATGGTGAAGGTTACTGAGTCTACTCAGTAGACCTGCTGTGTAACCAGTTGTCACAGGCCTATTTATTTTTCTTTTATTTTTTCAAGGCTGTCTGCAGTGGAAGAGCATAAATGCTTTTTATACATCCAAAGTTAATTTATTCTTTTTGGTTTCTAGACAATAGAAGAACCTGTTTTTTACAGTGGGACTCCAGAGTTTCCTCATTGTTTAGTGTGGAATGGTTTAGTGATATTTATTGTTATTAATTCAGCATATTTTAGCAACTTTCCTGCTGATATAACAAGGGATTTGTATTGAAAACATCCCATTACAGAGGTGAATATCATTGCTGCAGATCAACTTCATATCTGACTCTTTTTTTGTAACTTCCTTGGAAAGAGTTTGGGTAGGTTTTTTATATTTTAGATGTCTGTGCATTTCTGTCCTCACCTACTTAAATG